TGACTGTGGATCTCTTGATTAGTGAATATGTCATATGGTACAACACTAGGTAAGATCAAATCAAATTTATCGTTTTAACTTTTTATTTATTTGAGGCAAATGTTTCAAATGGTACTAGAGTTTGAACTCAGTCTCCTGCTTACAAAGCGAACACTCCACCATGCCCCGTATCCTCAAATCAATTTTAGAACATTCTGAGTTTGCCTTTAAATAAAGACGATAATATATCCATACCCTTGATACTCTACACTAGTGCTTTTAATTCCTTTCTTTAAATAAGGAATCCTTTTTAGGAATCTACTAAAAACTCTGGACTTATCAACCAGAAGATGCATGTGCACATATGTATACACACAAAAACATGAATTTTATTTAGAATTTTGAGGATCTCACAGATCTTGTACAACCCATTCAAAGTTTTCTGTGACTAGTGGGTTAAGAGGTGCAATTTTAAACTGCCAAATTTAGTTTCATTAGATGTTTATTCACAGAAACATTGGAACACTAGGCTACCATTCCTAGCTCAGTGGTCAAACAAAAAAGAATATACAAAACTTAGTCAAATGTTTTGAGAACACTGTTCATAAAAACACATGTAGGAGAGCTTAGATTCCCCATACTAAAGAAGTTGCTATACCAGTGTCTCCATATTTCACTGAACAACAGATTGTATCAACATTAGAAATCTAATAATTTCTTAATATGTTGCCTCATTATGAGTTATTGAAGCAACGAGTTTCCTCCTTTTTCCTGACCTATGAGAAGTTTACAGGGCTGGGCATGGTGGAACACTTATAATCCAAGCTTCTGGGGAGGTGAAGATAGGACGGTGGTTCAAGGCCAGCATGGGCAAAAAGTTAGCGAGAACCCATCTCAACCAATAGCTGAGTGTGGTGATGTGCACTTGCCATTCAGCTACTTGGGAAGAAAAGGCAGGAAAATTAAGGTCTGAGGCAGCCTGGGCAACAGTTTGAGTCCTTATCTGAAAACAAATTAAAGTAATAAAAGGCTGGGGATATGGCACAAGTGACTCAACAGGGTAGCCTTGAGTTCAAACCTCAGTACCACCGAAAAAAAAATTTTTACAATCAACTTTTTTTTATTGTTGTGCAAGGGAGTACATTATGGCATTTCCAAAAGTTCTTACAACATATCAAATATATCATACTTGAATTCACCCCCTCCACCATTCTCCTTTATTCCCCCCTTCCCATTTCTGAAATAATTTCAAGAGGTCATTTTGCATTTACATACATTTGTACACAGTATTTGCACCAGATCCACCCTCCTACTCCCTTTTCCCATCACTTCATCCCACCACTGGTACCAACCTTCCCACCCCCTCAGGAAGGACCTGTTTTGCCCTCCTGTTCTCCAATTTTGCAGAAGAAAAAATAAAAAAAATAAGAAAAATGACATTTTTGCTTGTTTGTGATAAAGGATGCTACACAGGAAGTTTTTTGTGATATTTCCATGTATATATGTATTATAACCCCAACTGATTTACCTCCTCTAGTTTTCTTCATTCTACCTTAGTCCCTTTTTTATGGTGGTTTCAGCCAGTTTAAAAATTCTATGTTCATTCTTATATAGAGAGTAAATCAGCCATATTCATCTTCTTAGTTTCCTTCTTTTACCCTACTCCTCACATATGTGACCTCACCTTAGTGTGACTTATTTTTCATAATATTGTAGTATTTGTATTAGGTCTATACCACATATGAGAGAGAACATGTGGCTTTTGGCCTTTTGAGCCTGGCTAACTTCACTTAAGATGATATTCTCCAGTTCCATCCATTTACTTGCAAATGACAAAATTTCATTCTTTTTTGTGGCTGAGTAAAATTCCATTGTATATAAATACATCATTTCCTTAATCCATTTGTCAGTAGTGGGGCTGTTTCCATGGTTTAGTTATTGTGAATAATGCTGCAATAAACATGGGTGTGCAGGTGCCTTTCTTGTAACCTGACTCACATTCCTTTGGGTATATCTCTAGGAGTGGTATTGCTGGATCATACGGCAGTTCTATTTTTAGTTTTTGTGAGGAGCCTCTATACTGTTTCCCATAGTGGTTGTACTAATTTACATTTCCAACAGTAGTGTATGAGTTTCCTTTTTCCTCACATCCTCACCAACATTTGTTGTTGTTGTGTTCTTGATGGTAGCTATTCTAATAGGAGTGAGGTGGAATCTTAATAGCCCACCTAAAGACACTATAAATTTATTAATATTACTAACCTTGTATTTTAACTTTGTTTCCTTTATATCAGAATATGCCACCACAGAACATGTCACTTGGGTGTATTGGTTTTGAGCTAAAGGCAATTAGCTCTCTGCCTTCCCCCTTTCTGCATAAAAGTAGGTCAGAAATGTCCCTACATAAATGTGACAGAAATTTTTACTTATATAGGGTAACCCTTTCCCATGTCAGAAAAAGGAGAAAGATTCTCACCTATATAACAAACCTTACTAAGTAATTCTTACTTAGCATACACTTTCTAGTCACCTTCCCACAACTTACCCCACAGAAGCCCTATACCCCTTTTCCTTGGTCTAGGCCCTCTCCACACATTATCATCCTTTGTTAGGCTATTAAGTTTTAAATTCTAACTGCCTGTTGTAGTTCTTTTTTTAATTCTCCTATTCACACACATGATTAACTCTGAGGTTTTTGACCTGTAAATTCAGATTTTATCAATTTGATTTCAGGGCTTCTGGATAGCCACTGGACATAACAGAATAGAGGGGAAAGTTCTTTTCCTATCCTCCACCTGCACTTTGATTGTATATTCTTTTGTAATATACATAGGATAGTATCCCTCATCTAAAACGCTTGGGACAAGAAGTGTTTCGGATTTCTAAGTTTTTTGACTATTGGAATATACTCATAAACTATGGATTGAACATCCCTAGTCTGAAAATCTGAAACCCAAAACACTCCTTAGTCCCAAAGTTTTTGAGTACCAACACATTTCAAACTTGAGACTTTTGGATTAGAAATGTTCAACTTGAAACTTGTCACAAATTCTTTTTGGAAAAACATTATAATTAATCAATAATTATAAATTTTAACAATAAGAATGGTTAATTAACAATGACACTGGAATTTTGTTTCTTAGGAATATATCAACAAGAAGAGGCCACAACATTTCTGAAAATCCATTAATGCTTTTAGGCTATCAGTACTGTCAAAATGAGTGAATGTAAGCAAACAAAACATCACAAACAGAAGAACCCCAGTGTGTTCTAAAAATCCTTAATCCCACCAAAGCTTTCTATACAGGAGCATAATATCAATATTCTTCAATGAAGAATTTAACATTGTCTCCTTGGTACTACCATGGAATTGCACATTGTACATCATCCATTATAACTTTTACTGTACTGTAATCACGGCTTTATTCTTCTCCACTATTTCTGGAACTTACTTGGAACCTGAGATCCTGACTTTATTCATTTTAAATGTTTGGCACCTAGCACCTAGCACAAGGAGAGCCATAGTATCAGGCAAGAGTCTATTAAAATACTGCAATCCTAGCAGATAAGGGTTAGCTAAGGCAAAGAAGAACAGAATGTTACATTGGATAGGAAAAGAAAGATTTGTTCCTACAAAACAAACAAAAACTTCAACTTACCAGCCTCATTGTAACGTCTGTTGAAAAGCTAGCTTTCTATCAGTTTTGCCCTCCAAATTGGATTCCTATGGAAAGAGACCTTAAGGCCTCAAGATGGCATCATTTGAAAGATTAGACCAAATTTGGTCAGTGTTTACCAACATTTGCTGAATCAGTCAATTGAAGGTGATTTCACACAGTAAAAGAAGCCCCAATACAATAATATGTAGCTTAATGTTTGAATGTAGATATGTACATGTGCACATATATATACACATATGATTAAAATCAAATACTTTTTATCATCTGCTAGACAGTTACCTCTTTTTCTCATGTCTATTACTAAGTCTCCTCTGACCTAAATATTCAGGGCACTAGATATATGGTAGAGCTCTAAAGTATTAAGGTACCAAATAGTTTGACTGATGTAGACATTTGCATTATTATAGACTTATAACAACTTTTAAAATCTTCCAAATAATAAAAAGGATTACTGATATGTAAGAATGCAGTAACATTCTACCTTTCCTTATTTTTCTTTGCTGTGTGCCTCAATTTCCTTATATGTAAAATGAAAATGTAATAGATCCTATATCATAGTAATATTAAGAAGATTTTTAGTTAAAATATATAGAACATTTAGAACATTGCATGATACATAATAAACACTCAAATATTAGCCATTAATAATCATTACAAAAAACATTTCTACTCAAATCTAAAAAACACAAATATTCCCAAAGCAAAAACTTTTAAGAAAAATAAACCAGACAATTTCAAAGCATAGCTTGGTCTACTTTTAGGAAGAATAGTGAAGCAAAATTAGTTTGCATTTATGATGGCTTTTAATGCTAGACTGAAATATATGAAATTAATATTTTATAGGAAAAAGTAGTTGAATAAACAAAAATATAGGTCACTTTTACATTTTTTATATCCTTAAATTATTTTATATTAGAAAATTTAACATATTTCACTAAGATGCATTTAGCATATTTTTTTAAGAAATGGAAACCCAGCCTACAAATAATTCTAAAACATTTAAAAGCATTGTCACCATAAGCATCTAAAGTGGTATGGAAGAACCTGATTATACTACTAAAAAGGCAATAAACATTTTTGTTTTATTTTTTAACCAATAAGGTAAAACTTCACTATTTCAGTTTTCTAAATGTAATCATGTATGAAAAGAACAATGCTGCTTAAAAAATAAATTTAAAAAGTAACTTTTTTCATATGAAGAGCCAGTCAAATTTACTTTGAACAAAAAGCAAGTGCACATCTGAATGCATATTGATTTCTGTATATATTTACCACATATTTATAATTCAATCCTGTAACAAAGTAGAGAACACAAAACACAAAAAGACAAAGCAAACTCACCATGCTTTCCCCTAGAAATATCCACATACTGGCACAATCTGGGATGAGTGACGGTCTTAAGAATTTGAAAGCGTCCTAAAATTTTGATGGAGTTTGGTGTGAGAGGCAGTCCATTGCTTCCACAAACATCATGTGGCAGAGCTGAAGCAAAGAAGGTAAAGGCACCCATTTCAGCATCCTTCAGAGGAAACATTTTTGGAGTGCTTGATCTTCTAAGATGACCTGGAAAAGAATTTTATAACAGACTCATCAGACATTAGGCCAATATTTTTTTCACCTTAAACTTAAAAAACAACTTGGAGGAAAACAACAATCTGCACACTTAGACAGCAAAAAATATCAACTTTAAAAAATTCTAAGATAATATAAAAGAAAAAAACAGTAAGAGCCAGGCATAGTGATATAAATCTAGAAGGACCCAGAGTTGGAGGCCAGAGTTCAAGACCAGCCTGGACTATTTAATGTGACCTGCCACTAAAAAAAAAAAAAAAAAAA